CCTTGCCGGCGGCCGGCCGTTTGTACTCCTTCACGGCGCGCTCTGGGTCCGCGCGGGGCGGGTCGCTGCGGCCCCCCGGCGCCACCTCGAAGCGGTGCAGGCGTCGCTCCTTTTCGCGCTCGGCGCGCTCGGCGGCCGGGCACATGTCTGGGCAAGTGCCCACGGGCAGCTCGCAGCCGGCCATGGGGGCGCTGAAGGGAAAGGAGAAGCCCTCAACATCTCGGAGACGACGGCGGCCACTCGCCCCGTTCTACGCGACGGCTGGCGGAGGCCGGCCGGGGCCCCGGCGCGGGGTCGGGCGGATCGCAGCCGGGCCCCGCCCCCGCCGTCCTCTCACCGAGCCCCGTCCCCTCCCACAAAGCCTGGAGTAGGCCTCCCGAGACACACTGCGCTGTAGTTCAGCGCCGCCACTTCCGACTCAGACGCCGCCAAAGCTTCCAGGATGCCCCGCGCACAGCCCAGCCCACTCCCATGATACACCAGTTTGTAGTCCGTTCCGCAACCAATCACTTCGCCGGAGGGGCGGGGGAGGAATGGAGCCACGCCCTCCCAGGCTTCAGCCCACCGAACCCTGGACCCTCGCTCTTAGCCTTTGGGCACCTTCCAAAATGGGTAACCCCAAATTGGGTTCCTCTTCATCATTCCCTTCACCCAGTAACCTGGTTCAGTCGGCCTCCTGCCATTCTCTGCTCTCGTTTCCCTGGAGACTATTTTCCCCATTTTCTAGATCAGGGGTCAGCAGACTTTTTCTGCAAAGGGCCAGATGGTAAATGCTTTGGGATTTGAAGGTCGCAACTGGGCAACTCAGCAACTATTCAACTCTGCTGGTGTAGTGGGAAAGCAGCCAAAGACAGTATTAAGAGAACGAGTCTGATTGTGTTCCAACAGAATTTTATTTTTAATACTTAAATTTCATGTAATTTTCATCTGTCACGGAATACTATTCTTTTGGTTTTTCTTCAACTATTAAAAAATGTAGAAACCATTCTAGCTCACGGGCCTTACAAAAAAAGGCCGTGGGCAAGATGTGGCTGCAGGCCATGGTTTGCAGACCCCGGTTCTAGATGGGTGAACAGCCAGTTCAGGACCAGGGATGCTGCCCACGCAAGACAGACAGGCAGGATCAGCTTAAGTGTTCTGTCCTGATTCCAAAGTGGCAGGTGTGGTCAAGGAGCTCTGAATTCATTATTTGTCTCATTCTTGGTCCAGTTACATACAGAAATGACCCCTAGCGTTACAAGACCAGGATATCAGGCAAGGCCCCAGGGAGAGTGAAAGGGGGTAGCTGGCAGTGTTGGGGCTACAGTCCTGGGCAGGGGTTCACTCCCTCTCAGGAGGGGGGCTGGGACAGGTGCAGGTGCAAGATTTCTTCTGCTCTCTTCAGGTACTCGGCTGCCTTCTTCTTCACACCCTCCCGGCGGGCAGGTGATGGGTCACCTGTGAAGAGAGAATGGCTCAGCTGAGATCCCTGGGTTCAAAACCCCTGGTCGGGCCCCTTACAGTTCACAGAGCATCAACATGTGTCTTTCCCTACCTCCCTGGGAATCAGGTCTATTCTCCCCATTTTACAAATAAGAAAACTGAGGCCACAAGAGGTAAAGAAGCTGCCCACGGTTGCACAGCTTGTCAGTGATGACCAATTCTGATCCTTGACTTGTCTTTCACTTTCCCTTCCCTTCCCTCCACCGTCTGAGACTCTAGGCCTAACCTTCCACCTTCCGGTCGTACTCACCAGGAACGCCCTGTAGCAGGATGTGCACGCCGTCCCGATAGCCCTGCAGAGCTGCAGGGTAGGCACCTGCCTTCTCATCCCGCAGGGCCTGGGTGATGAGCTCTGTGGCTTGGCTCAGGTAGGCAGGGGCTGGCCGGCCTTCCTCGTCCTCTTCCTCCTCCTGCCCTCCAGGCTCCCAGGGTTCCTGGTCCAGCCTTTCAGACTCTGCCTCCATCGCTGCCAGCTCACCCATGTGGGTTGGACTGGGGCCTGCACCTTCTACAATCAGATACGGAGGGCTCAGGCCAGACTGCCCTCCGTTTCCCAGGGCCTGCGGCCCATCCCCAGACCTCCCTCGCCCATCAAGGTACCAGCCTGCCCCAGGTGGAGGGAAGCAGTGCCTGAGCAATTCAAAAGCCATTCGTATATAACAGACTAGCCATGATTGGTTTGATTGGTGGAGTTCCTGTGCTTTTGTAAAAACAGTATTACCTTCCTAATTCTTTAGGTACATATTAACATTAGTTTGCGAGGTCTGGGTCACTGGGCCTACTTCCTTCCTGACTACAGTTGATCTACAAATCTAAGAATTCCCTCCGTAAAGTTTAACTGAAGGATGCCAGACCAACTAAGCCAGGCCAAGGGTAGAAATGCTCCAAACCTTGGAATGTCGGAATAATAGATGCAGAGAATCTCAGGTCTTACAACCTCAGCTGAGGACCCAAACATGAAGACAGTGGGTGGTGGGTGTCCTCACATTCCAGAGAGAAGGTCTCCTTATACACCCCAGGACTGGCCAAAAGGGGGCCAAACATACCCTCTGCAGCTTATACAAGAGAAGGCTAGAGATTTGGTCCATCATTGGCGAAAAGGCCTTTGGAGGGAAGGTGCCAGAATAGGAAGCACCATGGCGCACCATTCACCGGTCTAACTCCATCCCAGTGACCCCGTGAGGAGACTGGGAGGCCTCCTGCAGGAAGGGAAGATGACGTCTCACTTCCCAGCTGGACATACAGCCAGTGTTGCTCATGGAGCAGAAGGCAGAGGAGTTCCTGGGATGCCCTAACGTGAGTATGAGAGTTTGATGCATGTGTTGAAGAGAGAGACGAGTGCCAGCTCATTGCCTGGAGGACTCTGATGTTGAGGGACTTGCTGGAGGTGCCCACAACAGTGGGGCAAGGAGATGAGGCAACATCTGAGCAAACTGTACTTCCAGGCTTTGGCGGGGCAAGAGTTTGGGAGTTTTCTTTTCTTTCTTTTTGTTTTTTAAGATTTTATTTGTCAGAGAGAGGGAGAGAGAGCGCACAAGCAGGGGGAGCGGCAGGCAGAGGGAGAGAAAGAAGCAGGCTCCCCACTGAGCAAGGAGCCTGATGTGGGGCTCGATCCCAGGACCCTGACGCTCAACCAACTGAGCCACCCAGGCGTCCCAAAGTTCGGGAGTTTTCTTATGGGCCAAGGGAATGTCTGATGGGAGCTACGTCCTAGGAATCTTGACAGGCTCCTGTCGGAGCATCTGGCCACTGGACACCCCTGGGGGCTCAGCTGGGGCAAGGCAGGCAGGCCCCGGTGGCACCACCCTCACCTTTCCCCCAATTCCTTCTTCCCCATCCCAGCTGTGGAGGGGCTGAAGGAGCAGGGACGGGAGGAAGCAGAACACGAAGAGTAAAAGGATACTCCTCCCAGGCGAGCAGGGCGGTGGTTTGGAGCTGAGTAACTGGGTGGAAGACTGAGGTCCCGATTTGGATCGGACCCGGGGTGAGCGAACCCAGATGCCTGAAACCTGATCACAAAGCTGAGGGTGTGCCCGGGAGGTCACCAAAGGGCAAAGAAGAAAAGCCAACAAAATGGGCTTAAAAAAGATGGGAGGATTCCAAACTGAAACGCTTTCATGATGATCCTGAAGCAGATCAGCCACTTCAACGCCCCAGCTGCAGCAACAGCACTGGGTCGGAGACTTTGAGAAGGAAAAGGTGCAGTGTCTCAGAGCCTGGGACTCTCAGCTCCAGGACCCAGGCCTCCACGGGAAGAGGGGAGGGGGCTTCCCCCGCTATGGTGGGTCTGTGGTGCCCCCACATGCCTGGGCCTCCTGTGGGAGGGCCTCCTCCTCTGAGCCCAAGTCTCACTCCCCTGACCAACAGGCCTCTCCTGCCTTCAGGATCTGCAGCGCGACCCTAAGCCGACCAGGAAACCCCCACCTTGGGCTTCCAACGGAAGGAACTCAAATCCTCCCAAGACGGTGTGATGCCTGCCTGTTCCAGAGCTTTCTTGGGGAGAAGATCCACCTGTCCCTGAGAAGATCTCCCTTTTCTTTCTCCCTGGTTGCTCACTGTCCAGGGCATCCAGCTCATGAGCCCCGGCACCGAGGTGCCGGCTTCCAATGCTCACTAAGGCTGCCAACTGCCCGGAGTGGGGCGTCTTTCTAGCATTTACACAGGTACTACACACGCTCGTCGGTGGCTCTGCCCGCCCTCCTTGCCCCCACCTCAGCCCCCCTCTGCTTGTCCCGGCTTGTTACCTTCCCTGGAGAAGGGGTCGAAGAGGGCAAGCTCAGCCTCTGTGAGGGGGCCTCGGGCAGGGGAACCGGACGCCTCCTCGGTGCTCCCACAGTTAAAGAGGAGATCCAGGGCCTCCTGGGCAGGGCTGGATGGTGGGGGATCCGCTGTGGAACCAATCAATGGGGACATTCATGCCTGTCCTTATCATTTCCCAGCTTCCAAAACACAATTACCCTCTCACTAACTCCTCGTGGCACCCATGGGCATAGACGAGCCCACTCCTCGTCAGGGTGGTACCCTTTTTACAGACGAAGAAGCTGTAGCCTAGAGAAGGAAAATGGCCTGGCCAGAGCTCCTCAGCACGTTCGTGGTAGAGGAACTGGGACATGCTGCAGAGTTTTTACTAAGCTCACTGAGAAGGAAGTGTGTGCTCTCCACCACCCCCAGGCCCTCCATCCCTGGCTCCCTTCCCAAACCTGATGTACCTGGCAGGTCCAGTTCCTCGAGGCCTCTCCTCTCTGTGGGGAGCGGCTGGGGCAACCAGGTATCCTCAGGGGGCGGTGTGGGGATCAGAGGGGGTGGCAGGATGTGCAGGTCTCTGCACATGTCGGAGGGCCGGGTCACCTCCCCACCCTGCAGGAGAGAAAGACAGAGACGGGGCGGGGGAGGGGGCGGGGGGAGTCTCAGGGTGCAGCCCAGGGGGCAGGTGGGCTTCCCAGGTGCCGGGGAGGAGGGACAAGCAGGGACACATACCCGGAAGAACTCCTTGAGCTGGGGGCTGTTGTTGAGCGCGGGGATGTGCACAGTGAAGCGAAGCAAGTCCTCAGCCCCCTTCCGCCGCTCTTCAATCACTGAGGCCTCAAACCGGCCTGCAGCAACCCCCAGGACGAGGGGTGGGGAGAGAAACAGCGAGCCACAGGGGTCACTTTCCTGCTTCTGCCGGAGAGGATCCCAGCAGCCGGCCATCCCCCCAGCAATCTTCCCTGGCTCCTCCTGGGGGGCGGGCGTGGGCTGCTTGCAAACAGGGACCAAGCCCCCTAGGCCTCCATGTACCAGATGTTTACGGAGCACCTACTAATGTGCTAGGTTCAGAAGGTGAATGGGAGGAAAGCAAGGTCTCTGCTCTCATGGATTCACATCCTAGACACGGGAGGTGGGTGGGCAACCAACAAGAAACAAAATAATTTCAGATGGTTTTGATGTAATGGAGAGGAAAGGAAGTCTCGGAGAGGAGAAGTGACTTGCCCAAGGTCATATAGCAAGTACCTCCTTTTTCACAGTCTCCCTGCTCTGTTCTAGGCATGCTGCAGAATGAACTACCTCTGACCTAGCAGCTGGCCGCACCGCCCACAGCCTGCATCCCCTGCGGGCAGCAACCCTTCGCCTCACTGTGAAAGAGTATCTCACGGGAGTCTAGAGACCCAACTAACAGATCGGTCCTGTCCACCAGAAATACATCACAAGTGGCATGTGCAATTATTCATTTTCTCGTAGCCACGTTAAAAAGAAACAGGTTAACTCAACTTGAATAATTTATTCCACTGAACCCGGTATATCCAAAATAGTCTCATTTGTACCTGTGATCAATATATAAATTATCGCCATAGTTTACATTCTATTTCAGTGTGCATTCAACCCACACGGCACACCTCGGCTCAGACTCACCACCTCTGGCTCACAGCTGCTGTTTTTGGACAGCGCAGACCCCAGCTCCGGGGGAGGAATTCTGGTTCTGCCACTTACAGGCCAAGCCCCTCTATGACCCTGAGCCTCAGCTGCCTTGTCTTGAAAATGGGGCTAAAGAAGAAGGAATGCTGAAGGGCTCCACACACACTGAGGGTTAGGCTGCTCTGAGCCTCAGTTTCCCCATGTGTGAAATGAGGCTGTCTCTAAGGGACCTCCCCAAAAGTGGCTTCTGCTGGGGGTTTTGGCCCCCCATCCAGCTCCCCCCCCCCTCGCCCAGCAGGGGTCCCCTCTGCCCACCTCTCCCTCCATCTCTGGCCTGAATGCCTAGATCAACACTCACCAAACACCTGGGCACGGGGGAAGGCCGGGAACTCCTCCAGGCGGCGGAAGAGGTTGCGGTGGGTGTAGGCCAGGTCCCCATGCAGCTTGCGGAAGTCACTGTACCGCTTCCAAACCACCACCTGCCAGGGACCCGAGACTTGGCCCAGGCCGGCCGTGGTGCCGGTGGAAAGAGGCTTTCCCCACCCCCAGCCTGGGCCAGCGCGTGTGTGGGTCGGGGCCCCGCGCCTGCTCCTCCCAGGGCCGCGGAGTTCCCACTTGTTCCTCTGCTGCGCCTGCATCTGGAACTAGGGAATGGTCCCCCTTCCTCCCAGGAGCCTCACCTCTTTGACATCCTCTGGGTCCCTCTTTGAGATGAACTGAGGAAGAAAGGCAAGAACCAGGTGAGACCAGAGACTGACATCTGACACCCCATCACGCAGTAAAATCCAGCAATGCCCCAGGTACCTCCCAGCCCTCGTTGTGGCCTTTGGCTCTTGGCCACTGGTATCAAGGTGTCCTGGCTTCAAGGCTTTGTGTCACCTGAAGCAGTTTTTCTATCACGTGCTAGTTTCTTCATGTGCCAGATGGGAGGATCCCATCCAGACCCTGTGGTTCTCAGCCCAACTTTTATCTCAGTCCCTTCATGAATTTGCGGACCATCCTGGCGCCGGGGTCGTGCTAATCTCTGTGCTGTCCCAACTTCACACGTGTGCTAACAAAGCCAGGACTACCTCACTTCCTTCGACGGGCCATGTCCCTGCATCTCCTTCTGAAACGAAAGAACCTCCAGTTCCCTAAAGAACGAGGTTCTGTCCCAGGAGCCACTCCCTTTTGTAAGTGAGGAAGCCTCTGTGGGCAAACACTCCTTTAGGCGGAAGAAAACATCACTGGGGTTGCAACCTCTAGAAGAGAAGAATGGGGTCTGAGCTGGGAAGAAGACTCTGTACTCACTATGGTATAATCATAATAATTAGAAAATAACACTCTACAACGTGGACTACTTGATAGTCTTCCAAACATCTCCTTTTAATTATCCTAGAACCCAAGGTGGCAGATAGGATTAACAGACCTATTTACCAGATAAGGAAGTGGAGGGACAGAGAGGGGACGTGACCTGTGGCAAGATCACACGGCACGTTTTGCAAATGATCTATCTGATAATGAGGTGATATCCAAAATATATAAAGAACTCCTACTCAACACCAAAAACCCAAAACAATCCAATTTAAAAATGGGCAGAGGGGGTGCCTGGGTGGCTCAGTTGGTTGAGTGTGGGTCTCTTGATTTTGGCTCAGGTCATGATCGCAGAGTCGTAAGACCGAGCCCCATGTAGGGCTCCAAGCTGGGTGTGGAGCCTACTTAAGATTCTGTCTCTCTCCCACACTCTCTGCATCCCCCACTGGCTCGAGGAAGGGAGGAAGGAAGAGGGGGAGGAAGGGAGGGAAGAAGGAAGGGAGGGAGGGAGGGAAGAAGGAAAGGAGGGAGGACACTAGTAAAGGTAGCTCAATAAATATAAAAAAAAGGGGGGGGTGGGCGGAGGACCTGAATAGACGTTTCTCCAAAAGAAGATATACAGATAAGCAACAAACACATGAAAAGATGCTCCACATCACTAACCACCAGGGAAATGCAAATCAAAGCCACAATGAGATATCACCTCACACCAGTCAGAACAAAAAGGTAAGAAATAACAAGTGTTGGTGAAAATGTAGAGAAAAGAGAACCCTCATGCAGTGTTGGAGGGAATGTAAATCAGTGCACCAATATGGAAAATAGTATGGAGTTTCCTAAAAAATTAAAAATAGAAATACCATTGGATACGGTAATTTCACTTCTGGGTATTTACCCAAAGAAAACAAAAACACTAATTCAAAAAGATATATATCCCCCTATGTTTATTGCAGCATTATTTACAACAGCCAAGATATGGAAGCAATCTAAGTGTCCATCAATAGATCAATAGGTGAATGGATACAGAAAATGTCGTAGATATATACAATGGAATATTACTCAGCCATAAAAAAGAATGAAATCTTGTCATTTGGATAACATGGATGGACTGAGAAGGTATTATGCTACATGAAATAAGTCAGACAGAGAAAGACAAATACTACATGATTTCATTTATACGTGGAATCTAAAAACAAAACAAAATAAACAAAACCAGAAACAGACTCATAAATAGAACAAACTGGTGGTTGGCAGAGGGGAGGTGGATGGAGGGGATAAGTGAAATAGATGAAGCAGATTAAGAGGTACAAACTTCCAGTTGTACAATAAATAAGTCATAGGGATGAAAAGTACAACATAGGGAATATAGTCTATAATATTGCAATAACTTTGTATGGCGACCGATGGTCAACTACACTTACCATGGTGAGCATTTCATAATGAATATAAATGTCGAATCACTATGTTGTGCACCTGAAACTAACATAATATTGTATGTCAACTATACCTCAGTTAAAAGTAAAAATTAAAAAAAAAAAAAAAATCACATACCAAGTAAGAGGGACTGGTAGGACCAAAACCCTGGTCTTTGCTTTTCACAATAGACTTGGCCTGAAATATCTTGGGTAAAAGAAACTAGATTTAAAAACTGTTGAGGAATACATATACCTGACAAAGGAGTCATATCCAGAATATATAAAGAACTACAGATCAATACTAAAAAGACAACTCAACTTTTGAAATTGGGCAAAATATTTGAGCAGGCACCTCCCACAAAAGAAGGTGTTTGAACGGCCAATAAGACAATGAGAATATGTTCAACATCATTAGTCATCAGAGAAATGCAAATTATACTCCAGTGAGATATTACACACCCACCCACTTAAAATGCTGAATTTTTTCAAAAAAGATTTTATTTATTTGAGAGAGAGAGAGACAGAGAGTGTGAGCACAAGAGGTTGGGAAGGGCAGAGGGAGAAGCACGCTCCCTGCTGAGCAGGGAGCCCAATGTGGGGCTTGATATTAGGACCCTGAGATCATGACCTTAGCCGAAGGCAGACGCTTAACCAACTGAGCCACCCAGGCACACCTACAATGCCGAAAATTGAAGATGCTGATGATACCAAGTGCTGGTGAGAATGGGATTATAAAAGTACTTTGAAGTACCGTACCACTTTGGAAAACTGGTAATTTCTTTTTTTTTTTTTTTTTAACGATTTTAAAGTTATCTCTAAGCCCAACATGGGGCTTGAACTCACGACCCTGAGATCAAGAGTTGCATGCTCCAGGGCGCCCGGGTGGCTCAGTTGGTTACCCATCTGCCTTCAGCTTGGGTCATGATCAGGGGGTGCCTGGGTGGCTCAGTTGGTTAAGCAACTGCCTTCGGCTCAGGTCATGATCCTGGAGTCCCGGGATCGAGTCCCGCATCGGGCTCCCTGCTCAGCGAGGAGCCTGCTTCTCCCTCTGACCCTCCCCCCTCTCATGCACTCTCTCTCATTCTCGCTCTCTCAAATGAATAAATAAATCTTAAAAAAAAAAATTAAATTAAATCTTTTAAAAAAAAGACTCAGGTGTAAAACAAGGACAGCTGTTTTTAATTCCTCAGGGAATTGGATTGCCACCTAAAAGATATCAAAAGACTGACACATCCATCTATGTTGAAAGGTTTTTCTGTCCCTTTGGGTACATTTAGCATAGGGATAAAGGTCAAAACAAACAAATAAACAAACAAAAAAACCCCACAAGTTCTTATCAGGCTCTGAATATCAGCCACCAACCTGGCCAACTTCCAACCACAGAGCTACTTAAACATTCTTTTAAATATTTTGTCAGTTTCAGTTAGGACCAACAGCAAACAGGCCCTGGAAACTGGTAATTTCTAGGACAACTACACATGTAGCTATCAAATGATCCAGCAATTCCACTCTTAGGTACATACCAAGAAAAAATGGGTGCACATGTCCATAAAAAGACTTGTACATGAATGTTCATACAACTCTACTCGTAACAACTAAAAATTTTTTTAGACACAACCCAAATGTCCAACAACAAGAGAATGAATAAAGAAATGGTGGTATATTTCTACAAGGGACTCCTATCACATGGCAATAAAAAAGAACAAACAACTTATACATGCAACAACATGAATTCCAAAAACATTACATAGAGAGTGAAAAAGGCCACACACAGGTGAGTACTTGCTGTGTAATGATTTCATTCGGATGAGGTTCAAGAACAGACAAAACTAATCTACAGTGACAGAAGTCAGGACAGTGGTTACCTCTGTGGGAGGAGAACTATAGATTGGAAAGATACAAAGAAAGTCTCTGGGGAGAAGGAAATGTCTATATGCTGATCTGAGCACTGCCTGCTCAGAGGTATACACTTTGGAAGTGTCTGTGTTTTTGCTTCCCTTTAATAGTTACGAATGCACCAGTTTAATAGTTGCCTAGTTTAAAATGCTAAAAGTACAAAACAATTTACGGTGAAAAGTCTTCCCCCAACCAGTTCTTGGATATCATTCTATTTTTAAATTCTTCTCATGGTTTCCCCCATGCATCTATAAAATCTGCTTATAAAGTTGTTACTGCTTCGTAGTCAACTTTAGTCTTTCCCTATTGACTTCCTGCTGGGACGGTGAAGATAGAGACTTACTCTTGAAAATTCTCGAGCTGTATGAATTTTTAAAGTCACAGGAATTTTTTTGAAAAAATTAAAAATTAAACTCTTAAAAAGGGCTTTTATGTAAATATCAAACAAACCAGTTAACACGACTTACTCCAAGAGATTGGAGAACTAACTAATATTTGGACTGAGCCAGAGTTTTCGTGTTAATTTAAAGAAATTCACAGGGGTGCCTGGGTGGCTCAGTTGGTTAAGCGACTGCCTTCGGCTCAGGTCATGATCCTGGAGTCCCGGATCGAGTCCCGCATCGGGCTCCCTGCTCGGCGGGGAGTCTGCTTCTCCCTCTGACCCTCCCCCCTCTCATGTGCTTGCTCCCTCTCATTCTCTCTCTCTCAAATAAATAAATAAAATCTTTAAAAAAAAAAAAAAAAAAGAAATTCACAGCCTGATGTGCAGACACCACACGTTGGGCGTGGGAACCCACCCCTCCCACTCCGAGAACTGCCGTCCACGCCCTTTTAAAAGGACAGCGCCCTCCCAGGGCCACACCCCCGACGGCTAAAGATGTAAACGAAGTCTATACCGCAGCCTCCCCTTAAAGGGGAAATGCATTTCTGTCGTCTAAAAAGGGAGCGTCCAACAGTGCTTTGCCTTAAAGTAAAACACTGCCCCCCCCTTGTTAAAAGGGTAAAGGTCCCCGCCGGGCCCCACCTCACCTGCGCGGTCACTTTATACTCGGTGTAGCCCTTGGGGTGGGTCCGGGGGTCGGAGACTGTGTAGTGCCGCAGGAAGTCGTCCTTCGCCTGGCGGGACATGGTAGCCGAGCCGGAGTGGAGCTGGCAGCCGGCCTCCGCCTCCTCCATGCCGCCCCCGCCCCTCCGGGTCAGTCTCCGCCAGCCACCGCCTGTCCGGTGCCTGCGTCCGCCTTCCCCGGGTCCAGGGAGCCGGTCGCAAGTGACGGCGCAGTTCTCGGCCTTGGCTTGCGGCCAGGGAGCGTCTAAAAAGTTCTCAGTGGCTGATAAAGCGTGAACTAGGTGATTTAAAGAGTTAAGGACTGGGGAGGTTGGATCACTCAGCTCTGACCAGTGTTCAAGCCCGCCCCATCCAACGTGTCCAAACGACTTCTCCTCTGCTTCCCAGTTCCCTTCTTTTATCTACCTACCCAATTTTATTGTGTCCAGTGCGTGCCAGTTGTAGCCAAATCATTTCCCTGTCTCCCTCCATAGGATTCGCTAATTCATATTTTCTGCAAGGGTAGGGGAGGCAAAAAAGAACTTCAGAGAAGCAGGATGGCTTCACAGGTTCTGAAGTCACACTTCTTACCAGCTGTATGAGTTTCCCTTAACTACTGGAGCCTAAGTTTCTCATCTCTAGAATGTTTATAGTGTTTATAACAAGGGATGTTTATAATAGAATCTACTGCAGAGCAGAATTCTTTTTTTCCCTGCTTGGTCTGTCCAGCATTCAGCCCCACCTATCCGTTAGCACAATATCTTTGTTTGGAGGTAGTTCTCCCTAGGTGTAGCCCTTCAGCCTCCTACCCAGAATCCAAAGGTGCCAGCTCCTTTCCTTGCCCCGTCCTGGGTGGGGGTGGGGGAGTCTCTCCTGAAGCTTGAATTGTGAGTTTCTTGAGTGAGGGACAGAGGGCACAGTGCCTGGAAAGGGCAATAGTTTGTTCCTGATGTGCAGTGTTGGCTGCGGATTGAGCTGCCCAGCCTCTGGGCACTCTTTTTTCCAAACCTGATGTCCAGCATCCTGAGACCTCCATCGGGATGCTATGAGTTCTTAGTATCCTTCCAAGAACCATCCTTTCTGCTGAAGACAGTTGTGGTCCGTGTCTGGGACAGGCCGTCGAGGACCCTGACCAATACCACAACAACCAGGTTGTGAAGCTTCAAAGTGGTAGTGTGGGTGAAGCGGCCGCTCTTATAGTGGACACTGTATGGCCAGTTTCCAGAAAGAGACAAAGCCAACTCCCAAATGAGACTCATGGAAGCTCAGACACAGGGTAGATTATCCAGGAGGTGTTTGAGAGGAGGCTTAGATGGGGTGGCGGCCCCTTGAACAACACGCACCTCTAGAGACCCCTTTTAGACATCATTTCTGCTCTCTCAAGCTCTCCTGGCAAGACTGGCCCCAAGTCTTCTTCTTGCCCATCATTCCCTCCCCTCCCTGACCCTGCAGCTCCCAATTCTCTCCATTTTCTCTTCTTTCGCCCTGTCCCCTCCAAGCCCATTCCTATCTAGATCAGTTTGTCCCCCGGCCTTCAGACACCAACTCCACTATTTCCATCACCAGGAGAAGCAAACAGAAGAGCCCTCTTAGCCGGCAGGAGGAGAGAGGAAAGCTGCAAATGCACAGCTGCCAATCTGGCTCCCCACATTCGCACCCCCACCGGGTTGACCCCAGGATGCAGACTTGCTGCCACAGCTCAGATCGCCCATCCACAGGCCTTGGTAATGAGTATAACCTTGCTATTTCCTTGTCTCCAACCATGCAGAATTCACTCTTTAAATCAAGGATGCTGCTGACTAAGGGCCCCCAGGAGGACTTGACCCCTGGGGTGGCTCATCCGGATCAGTAGATGGCTGAGTTCCCGTTGATTGGATCTGCTTGGGCTCCTACCGGTTCAAATACTGAACATGATAGCTAACACTATACAATGACACACAAGACACTCACCCATTTGGTCCTTGTCCCGCCCTTTGCAGATAGGTGCCTTATCTTTCCCCAGAGGGGGACACTGAGGCAAAAACACACGAGACACTTGTTCAGCATCATCCAGTGAGTGGCAGGGCTGGGCTTTGGCTTGGGAGCCTGGGTCTGTTCACTCACCGCAGGGCTTGGGTAGCACGGGGACGACAACGTCTGTCTTGCACAGAGGACAGGGCAGGCAGTTTTAATTTTCCACCTTGAAGGATAGTTTATGTTCTAAGGTTGTTTACCCAACATTAATTTCCCTTCTTCCATCTTAACAGAGCCCAGATTTTGCACACATCTGTACCTCTCCAGGAAGGGATCCTAGTGCCAGTTTAGGAGCAAATCTCGGTGTCTCTTCCTCACCTTTTCCTTGGGAAAACTACTCTTTCCTCATTAGACACATTAGGCCTCCTCTCTCTGCCATCTGAGCTTTGAGCAGAGAGACAAAAACCTAGAATAGTATGGCATAGTGGTTAAATGTGCTGGGTCCAAATGCCAGCTTCCCTACTTCCTAGCTGGTGGCTTTGAGCAAGTCACATAACCTCCCTCCCGGAGGCTCAGTTCTCCTATAGACGGGACCTGGAGAGTCTGTACTGTTCAGGGCTGTTCTTCAATGTGATGATACCGGGGAGTGCTTTGAACAGAACCCAACGGAGTAAGCAGCCCCCAGTAGGACCACAGCAGGGGGCCCTGTGAAAACACCCATCTGTCGGGTCACCTGCGGGGCAACCCTGCTTCAGAGAGCGCCTTAGTCTTCAGAGAAGGACCCTTCCGTGCTCTGCTCAGTTAGCAAGCCCTGCTTGACGCTCACGTCCTTACACCCGAGTCCTCTCCCCTCCCCACTTCCCAAGAGCCCTTGAGCTTCATTTCTCGGTCACATGGGTTCCACTGCTTGAGCCAGCACTGCCTGCTGCCTGTGGGTTCCTGGCTACGGTGGGGAGTTGGGAGCTGAAATTCAGCCCGTATTCCCTTCAGCAAATCATGAGCCCTGATGTGGGGCTGTGTCCCTTCTTCTTATTTACTGTTCTAGTGAACTGTCCACCCCGTTCCTCTACACAGAGAATTTCTACTTAGCCTTCCTGCCCAACGTCAATGTCACCTCCTCCGGGAAGTCTGCCTGGACCCTTCCAAACGGAATTAGTTGCAGCCCTGTCCCGTGCTTCTGTAACGCTTCGTGTGTCCCTGTGACACAGCAGCAGTGAACCCTCTGACTGGAACGATCTGTCCCTTTCGGTGCCCTGCTACCCTGTGGGCTCCCGGGGGGCGGGTCTCAGAGAGCTGGGGAAGCAAGAAATGACTCCACCAGGAACTGGGGCAAGGAACGGTTTATTCTCATGGCTGAGCAAAGGATGAGGCCCACAGCCTTGGTAGCAGCAGAGGCGGCCCCCTCCCGGGCCCGGCCCTCTCCTCTCCCTCCTCTCCGGATGGAGGCTGCGGGCGGGCTGCATCGGGAGCCAGGGCAGCAGCCCTCCAGCCACGGGAGCTGGCGGGCCACAGAGCGGCAGCTTTCGGCGCGGGGTTGGGGGTGTTCGCCAGGCTGGCTGACTCCCATTCCCCCAAGGATGGTGCCTGATGAGGGCTGGGGGCGGGGGCGGGGCTGGACTGCGAGGTGGGGGGCATCCGGAGCGCTTCAGTCAGCCGTGAAGATGCGGCTGGAAATGTCATCCAGGAGCCAGTCAATGCCGAGTAGGAGGTTCTCCCCGGTGACAGCGCTACAGCCCTGGATGCACCAGTGGTGGCTCTGGATGGAGTCCAGCTCCAGGGCCTGGGAGGGCGGAAGAGGGGGGTGGGCCCCGGTGACCGCGGGCCCTGCTGCTCATAGCCCCTCCCCCCTCCCGGCTCTCCCCCCAGGGCCCCCAGAAGTCTCCTGGGGAAGTCTCCCTGGTGAAGATCTGTCAGGTCCTGGGGGCACCTGGGCTCCGGGTACACCACCGCACCCCCCTTAGTAACAGCATAGCAACGTGGGCTCCTGAGCATCTGTTGTGCTCTGCGCCCCACAATCGTCCTCCCATCCCTTCCTCCCAAGGCCCAGGGAGCCAGGGATTGCTGGCCAGTTTACTGAGAACAACAATCCTGCCTCTCAAGTAGGAGGCAGGACACAATTTGGGGTCCCACAGGCCTGCGCTGAGATCCTGACTTGTCTGCTTACTGGCCGAGTGACCTAGCTCTTCTCAGTCAACCTCCAGTGTCCGCCACAGGTCCTGCCACGCGAGGAGCTAATACTTGCTTCTGAAGTAAGTTAACCAAGAAATGCGTGCCCGTTCTCCTCCATGGGCCTGTACTAAGGCCTGGACTCACCTCCCGGATGGCGTTAGAGGACAGCGCTCCGGGCAGGTCTTGCTTGTTGGCAAAGATGAGGAGGGTGGCTCCAGCCAGGCGCTGGGGGAGAGAAATGAGGGGGGGGGAGTGGGGGCTCAGAGGGCAGCCCGGCCCCTCCTCTAATCACCCAGATCAGGTGGGGTCAGAGATCAACCTGGAAAATCAGGGCAAGGCCCCGGGGTGGTATAAGAGGCCCAAGTGGGGTAGGGAGTGTGGACATGGCCTGTGAGTCCAGCCATACATTGGAGGGGGGGGCAGGGAGGGAGCCCTAGGCTGGGGCCCAGCGGGCACCTCTCTTCTCCATGCCTCAGTTTCTTCCTCCATAAATGGGGAGGGAGTGATGGACAAGATGATTCCTGAGCCCTCTGGTTCTAGATTGTCCCATGTGATGACCCAACCTGTACAAAGACTGCAATCGTCCCGGGGCCATAGGGTCTGCTGGGAGTGACCTTTCCCTCTTCCAAGGTCATGTAGCGCTTTCACTGTTCACTACCAGGCCTCACTCTCTGCCTCGGCTTCCAGTTACTTCCACATGTGTTCCTGACCGGGAGTCCCTCCAGGTAGGTAGGTGCATCTGGGCCTGATAAAGGGCCTCGAGGTGCCAGGCTGAGGGCTGAGCACAGACAGCCATGATCTCATTGGACCTGCTTGGCACCCACTGGAGGTGGCTAGTGCTAGACCAGATGACCGCGTCCCTGTGTGCCCAGAACAGTCCTGTTTATGTCTGTTGTCCCTGTGTAATTATTAACAAGTCCCTCTTTTGTTCTTAAAAGTGACCTGGGCAGCACCTGGGTGGCTCAGTCTTGAGGCATCTGCCTTCGGCTCAGGTCGTGATCCCGGGGTCCTGGGATCGAGTCCCACATCGGGCTCCCTGCCCCGCGGGAGTCCTCCTTCTCCCTCTCCCACTCCCCCTGCTTGTGTTCCTGCTCTCACTGTGTCTCTCTCTGTCAAATAAAT